CTCAAATTGAACCATCTCGACTTACACGCTGATGACGCTGGATCACAAGCCTCTCTTGCGTCTGTGCTCTCTGTTCTATTATATTCTCTTCCTATCACGCATAATGCTGTTTAGTTTTGTGAATTTCATTTCTATTATCTCAAAATTTAATTTAATTTAATTTAATTCGATTATCTCCGCAGTGGCAAGAAGAAAAAGAGAGGCCAGCGAGCAGTTGGACCTGACAAGAGTGGAAGAGGTCTCCGACAATTTAGCATGAAAGGTAATTTTCATCTGGTCAATTTGTTTTCTGGATTGGACCTTTTCTAGTTGTTAACTTTTAGCTATCGCGTATTGAATGTGAAATTTGCAATCATAGTGTTTGGAATTGAATTTTTGTGTTTAGTAGGTAGACGTTATTTTTGTAGGTAATGAATATAATTTTGTTCTGGCTTTGCTTCTCATTTATTGTTTCATGTCTCCAGTGTGTGAGAAGGTAGAAAACAGGGGAAGAACAACTTACAATGAGGTTAGGTGGTTACTTTAACTCAATTTTTGCAACATGTGAATTGATAGCTTGCTTTGGTTTCAGTGTCATAGAATTATAATTTGTGTCCTTCCATCTGGAGTTTGATTTGATTATTTTAATATTGTAGGTGGCAGATGAGCTTGTTGCTGAATTTTCTGATCCAACTAATAGTGAATTAACCCCTGATCAGGTTTTCTATCCATCATATAAACAATTTCAATATTATATGCAATTCACAAGTTGAAGATTTAAAATGAGTTTTGTGGACTTACTTTTGGTGATGAACATTTGTCAGCAACAATATGATGAGAAAAACATCCGTCGAAGGGTGTATGATGCTCTGAACGTTCTCATGGCGATGGACATTATTTCTAAGGATAAAAAGGAAATACAATGGAAGGGACTTCCTCGTACTAGTGTGAATGATATTGAAGAAATAAAGGTTTGTCCACAGTCTGGAGTTGTTTAGTCTGCTCAATTTGGCTTATGCTTATCCTGCAGTGATGTTGTGAGATGTAAATGTATTTGATTCCAACAGACAGAGCGTCTTGGGCTAAGGAATAGAATTGAAAAGAAAACAGCCTATCTGCAGGAGCTCGAGGAGCAAGTGAGTCCCGCCCTCTCTATAAAAGATTAAACATGGGAATGAATTTGTGGACTTGGGAAATTGGACATATTGAATACCCTAACAAATTACATATGTTTTTGTTTAGTTTCTGTTTGCTAATTACTTGTATTGTTATGTCAAGTTCGTAGGCCTTCAGAACCTTATTCAAAGAAATGAGCAGTTGTATAGCTCAGGAAATCCTCCCAGTGGAGGTGTATCTTTGCCTTTTATTCTGGTACAGGTATATCATCACCCCATTGCCTAGTGTTTTTGTTTCTGATAGGGAATGCTGCTCAAGTTTACCTTGAATATTATTTTAATTATGAAACCATTACTCACTGCATCTGTGATAGTAAGTAGAAACTGGCTCAGAATTATAGATTGCAAAGCTTCTATTAAACAGAAAAAGAGTACAAATAATTCCCTTGACATTCGAGAGGCCTGTTCATTCCCACAACAACACTAATTCCCTCTCAATTCACACCATAAAATCTCCCCTTTAAACTTTTTTTTCTTATTTATCTGCAACATGCCTCATTTTTTAAAATATCTTAGTTTCGAACTATCTTTTCTGCTAACTAACTATGGTGGTTAGTTACCTATTAAGCATCATAATGAATTCGCTAGAAATATGTTTTCACTTTCTCTGTTAGTGTACATTTAAATTTGTCAACTGAATGCTGTATAAACTATATGGTAGAGGAACATTATCAACTCGTATTGCTAAGTTCACCTAACTCAGTCTGCCTTTGTATCTACTGAAGGCTTTTATTAGTAAGTTCACCTTAATCGGATAGCTGTGGTGGTAGAGAACTGAAGGCTTTTATTGGTAGAGGAACGTTATCAACTTAATTAATCAATCTCATATTTCTGGTCTTTTAAAACTGCAGACACGTCCTCATGCAACTGTAGAAGTGGAAATATCAGAAGATATGCAGCTTGTTCATTTTGATTTCAATAGGTAAGAAAGCTACTATTGCTTCACCTGGAATTCTTTCCAAATGATGTTTATAGTGTTAGTGATATCACAAAGTCAAGAAGCTCAAACTAGTGCATCCTATTTTGGTTAAACAGTCAAACATCATGGCTAGTACAAGAACGTTCTGGCAGAGAAGTTGGGAAGTGGTTGTGGTTGCATAGTTTTTGTCCCGTGCTGGGAAATGTATCTGCCCCTAACTATTTATGCCTTTTCTTCTCTCTGTAGTACTCCTTTTGAGTTGCATGACGACAATTATGTTCTCAAGGCAATGAAATTTTGCGAGAGACCACAGCAAGATAACACGACACACAATTTTACCGTTGGAGGAGAAGGTTCTAGCATGTCAGGCTTGTGCCAACCACAGGCTCCTTCTACAAATCTAAAAGTGTCAAATAGGCCTCCAACCTCACCTCCTCTCCCTGGCATATTAAAGGCAAGGGTTAAGCAAGAGCATTGATCTGTAAGTTTATCATATTATGTTGTCTTATGTAAGCATGGTTGTATATTTTGTAGAGAAATTGGCTTCAGTCGGTAGACCGTCATAATAGTTATTCAGCAGTACAGCCAAATCATTCTGTAGGTTAGAAGCAGATCGGTATGTCTTCTTTATTGTTAGCGGTAGACTTTGGCGCCCTCTTTGCTCATCATCCATCATTGACTACCTTAACTTCTTTTATTTCCAACATATTTTCACTGTAATTTTCCCGTCTCATAAATTGGTTTGTGACAGTCCATAGATCATGGAACGGAACCTAACAGCATAGGATTGATTTTTTAATTTTCTGTTTTATAGTGTACAGGTTTTCTGCTTATTTGGTATCTGGACCAATGCTATTGTTTGTTTTGTAGCATTGGCCTGGCCCTCTTGCTAATTCAAAATAACTTTGATGGAAATTTTGCATCTTACATCCATTCTTCTTGTAGAAGACGATTAACAGAAAAATTGATTTATATTTAATTGAGTGTGTCTAGAATCTTGTTCATGTAGCAGTGTTGTGGCAGTTTTAGTATCAGTAGTTCTAAATTCATCTCCGAAAAATTTATTGGAATGTATTACTTACTGGGAATGCGAAAGTTTTATCCTGATTCTTGAGGAATAATTGACGTTGGTCGCATTGACGCTTCTTCCAGGATAGAAAGGAATTCTTGTTTATAGAAGCCCATGTTACAATAATGTGTCCATCTCTATCTTGATAGGCATTAATTGGGTGTTTTGTTTACCATTCACTAGTGTTACTGTATATGTAATGAAAAAGTGTCTTGATATGTTTGGATAATCGTCTTTTTTAGGTTATATCATCAGGAAAAAGACATGTACTGATTAAGAGCAACGAATATTCTTGTTTACATAATGATTATATTCAAATTGCGATTACCAACATTAACTGAGGTTTTTTAGTGTCAATCACGAGACATTCAACACTTGAATATGATTTTATTTTGGGCAAAATTTTACTTGGTGAATTAATTCTCTTTGATAAGGTTTACATGGTGCATATAATTTTTACTTTTTGGGGATTTTAATGGGTTTGGTACTCATTAAGTGTAACTGTACACAGTCAATATATCAAATGGTTTGACGTGTTTGTCGCTGCATCAAATACGCACTCACGTCAAAATAATTGATGCATGCAACCAAACGTGTGCTTAGTGTGGGTTTGGATGTGTTTTTAACGAAGGAAATCAAGTTCAAATTGTATAGATATTTGCTGAGGGGAACATATCAAAAAGCAATTTATCGTGTCTCAGCACATATGAGAAATATCTAATGAAAATATAAATTATTTATAGAAAATATTATTTGTTATATAAAAATCTGCTACTTATTTAGTATTTATATTTGAAATCATTTAAACCACCAATAAATTGCATTTAATGTTCATAAAGTGAAAGTTTCATTTTAAAATGTTTTTGCTATTCATGTAATACAACATGTAATGTTTAAGAATATGATAAATAGTTCTAGTAATATGTACATAATACTTTTTTTAATATTTTATTTTTAATCTGCCATTCAAAGTTATAATATTTAGATTAAAAATTAATTGTATTTTTTTCTCTTATTATTATTGATATTTTTGTTTTGCACATTATTATGTACTACATGTTCCTTTACACAAGAATATAATTTAAAATAAGAATTATCACTATCTTTTTAATAATTGGTAGGTAGATAGAAAATACCTATAACTTTTTTCCTCGTCACTATATTATATATATAAACATGCACCCACACAAAATAGGTAAAGCTATATTTGGATGGAGTTATCATTGTGACAAGTGAACGTATTTCACAAAGAAGATAATCCAAAGGCATAATTATGGAAAAAAAGGTTTCTTGTGATAATTTATTTAAATATTATACTCAAATGTTAGTAAATAATTTTCTAACATACACATAATTAGTTGATGAGATTATACGTTTCAACAAAAAAAAAATTGAAAAGATTATATCAGCTTAGTAAGCCATTTTAAGTGGATTGACTAATATGGGATTGTATCTCATAGTAAAGTCATTTTGAGTTTAAATCCTAAATATGAGATGCTAAAAAGAACTAGAAAAAGTGTTTTTTTGGTAACTTTTATTTTTATTCCAGAAAGTTAATTAATACAGAATAAGTTATTTCAGATAATTCAAATAAAAACATTAATTTGAATGTTTTCTCCGTCATTTTAAAACTTGTGAGTGACAGCATTTTTGTTCCGTTTTCCCTTAGCCAACCCCATATAAAAATTCTAATGTTGGCGAAAAAAAAAATTAGATTAAAATCATGAAGCGTTACGTGAGAGTAACGTGACTACCTAAATTAACCTTTTCACTGTCTCTTCAAGTCTTGTACTTTCATGTATTGTTCTCTCTTCTCTAATGGAGAAAATGTGAAAATTAGGGTTGATTATAATTAACATAGTGTCTCTTGCCTTATACCTTTACAAATTTTCCAAAGCACTTAAAAATTACTAATTTATTTTCACATAGCTGGATCATCAAGACTTTCCGAGTAAGAATAATCTTTGATCCACACCTGAATAATAAAAAACATGTACACTTTTTTGGCAAAGTAAAAACAACAAAAGAAACTGAAAGTACGTGTTATCACACAGAAAATTACAAATGGTTTCAAAGTTTCCTTATTCAAATCATAAAAACATCGGATAATAGAACTCTTTAACGACGAATCTTACAACTAGTTTTGAGCTCTTCCGGTGGCTTGTCCCCAGCAAATCCAGCATCAACCCATGCAGAGTAGCCTCCTCCCATATTCACAATATGTTTAAATCCCTTCGTTTATAAAATCATATGTCATGATGTTGTTATATTGATAAGCAATCACCGCAAGATTAGAGTGATTATATTATAAAGGACTAAACATAAACTTAAAACGTACCGAATCAAGTAAGTCAACGCTGGCTCGGAGTGATCTTCCTCCGCTGTTGCAAGCCTGAATTTGTCATCCATTATCACAAATCGCATTCAGAAACTTTGGATTTTGTTGTATATTTAGAAACTTAAAGGCTACATGTTTCTCACCACAATCAAATGATCCTCATTCTCGCATATTGCTGCCACCTGCTCAACAAAATCTGGATTTTTCACCCGTCCTGTTCAGTTGCATGTAAGAAAAATTGTCAATCATGAAATGTTTGCAGCGCGAAATACAAAAGATTCACATTTGATGAGATAACAACCCCAGATTTTGATACTTTTAGACTGCCCCTTTAAACTCATTTTACCTGCTTCTGTGATGAACATGTAGGGGACATTATATGCATTCTCAGCATGGCTTTTATTGAATTCCTCAACTGACCTATTTTAGGGGCAAAAGAAAGAACATCGGTTAGTTCCCAAACAATTTCAAATAGAGAAGGAAACTGGGGAAATTTAAATCTTTTGCTACCTCACATCCAGATAACGATAATCTGATGAATTTAGCAGATTTTTAGCAGCATGGACATCTATGGTTACAACATTTTGATGACTGCAAATAGGGAGAAATCAGAACTGTGAGCTATTTAATGAAATGTAATGTAAAAGCCAGAAGTGGGGTTGATCATATTTAATGAAGTAAATTTCATCTTATTTTCATATTCAGAAACACTTAAAGCAATGTTTTTCTTAAGTGATTCATATTCAGAAACACTTACTCCTTGGGGGCATCCATTCCTTTCTCTATTGACAGAGCTTACATCCATTGCCAAACTTGTATGAAGTGTATTTATGCTGTGAAAACCTAGCTTTTCTATAGGGCAAGTGCTGTCACTCAGTTGACCTTCTCATTGATATACTTTTTTTTTTGTTTACAAGTACTCTCAATTGTAGATTGACATATTCACGAACATGTGGCGTGCAAGCCAAGTATGCAACAATTTTAGAAAAATAGCAACAAGCTCTTATTTTATAATTTTCTGATACATGCATTACTTGTAAATAGTGTATGCGTGATTAAGATGGACTATTGCTTCTTGCACTCACAATTACTAACTGCATTCCCAAAATATTAGGAAATGACCCAAACACCCTTTATCATTGTACGACACGACACCATCACGATAAAATGAAATGACCATTTTGGAAATTTGAGCGGGTGCACGAGGAAGTTGTGGGGTGGAGGAAGTAAAAGAGTTATGATGAGATGCAAATTTTGTTATTGATGGGCCAATGAGGCATGGGACAGCCCGTTCGAATAGTGTGGGAAGTGGCCCGATCACTTCATGAACACTGTGACTGACTTTTGTTGTTTTTCGTACGGAGGGTGCGGGTTTCAATAGAGAAAGAACATAGAATACGATTTGCGATTCCTTCATCTCCCGTGTGATTCATTGATCTGATAATTGAGTTGTGTGATCGAATTTAGGGTTTGGGAGATGGCGTCGAGTGTTTTGAGGAACCTCATGAGATTTTCGTCATCGAGGAACACGAGCACCAGAAGTTTCAGCCTCGTAACCTCTCAAATCAGCAACCACACCGCCAAGTGGATGCAGGTACATCCATCACAACCAAATATCATTTTTGTGTCGTTGTAAACCACCTCGCGTTTATTGCTAGCATATCCCGAACAAAGTATCTTGTGTTTCATCAAACTAAGTTCTGGAATCAATTTAGGTTTATTACTTGTTTTTATTTGTTGCCTACTATTTATTGGATGCTAGTTACATAATTTATTCGGTAGAATTAGGCAGATGTCCACGGTCACCTTCATTTGCCAGGATTTGTGGTTTCCTTTCTACTTTCATTGTTGTTTTAGGTTTGCTCTGATATTTGCTGGTGTATGAAAAATTTGTGGGTATGCGCAGCTTAGTTCCTTTTTGAACTAGCCTCTCTGTGAGGTATCAACGCTTATCTTACAACTTGATATAATAGAATTAGAGAGGTAAGAAACATCTGGAATGGCTAGATCATGTGTGTACCTGGAGCGGGGATGTGATAAAGGATTGTAGTAAATGCTTTGGATGGAAAAATCTTCCGAGAGGCTTGCTAGGTAAATTGTGAAGAAGAAATCTGCATTTAGAGGGAAGAAAACTTGAGGCAGCAGAAAGTGGGAATTAACGTTTGAAGTAGCCTGAGGGAAGGGATCTACAGTACCGACTGGGAATTACTGTTTAGGGAATGATTACTAACCCTTCAGATCTATCCCTAAGCGTTAGCATGTTGCAGTTTTTATGAATAAACAGAACCAAATTGAAAATATCATCGGGAAAAACAATTGGGTTCAGCACTTCAGGTAGAAGAGGAACGATTTCAGTTTATTTTGGTTTGGTTATCCATGTTTTGTTTGGTTCAACCTATTAAACTTGATACTATCACTCTTTAAAGAGTTGGAAATAGATTGAATGACAATTATAATGCAGCAAAACTGAATAAAAATTCTGAAAATACACAGCCATTGCTTTATAACAATCACAATACGGTTTGATGGGTGCTTTGTAAGGCGAAATGAATAACTAGGAACATAGGGTTGATTAGTAGAAATGGGTGGCAATGATGAGAATGCAGTACTACTCAAGAATACGATGATAATAAATGACAATTGATTGAACAAAATTCAAGGATCAGTTCACAATGGAAATTTTGAACAGTTCATCAGCAATATAGGCAACTAATATAATGTACAAGTGGTGTCAGTATAATATTTTTCTAACAATTAAAGGATTAATGCAGTGATAGAGAAAATTGGTAGGTTGTGCAATTCACAAAACGATGGGAAGTGTTAATGTTATTTACTCTGATCTAAAATAAAGAGGACAGTCGCTAACTGGCTACAGCCAGTTAATAGCAGTACCCCCTTTTCAGTGGCTCCAATTTCATGTATGTTTACTTTATCAGCAAACTTGTGGAATTCCTGCTTACAGAATTGTGCTTGGGAAGATGTGAAACTTAACGTTTATTACTACTGTTGTAATAGGATACAAGCAAGAAATCTCCGATGGAGCTTATTAATGAAGTTCCTCCAATTAAGGTTGAAGGCAGGATAGTTGCCTGTGAAGGAGGTATAGTTTTTTCTTCAAAATTCTCTTTTTTTAGATCATGCACAAGATTTAGCGGAGATACAAACCTTGTATAGTTTCTGGTCATACATTATTATAGAAGTATAACTAATTTGGGTATTGCTATCGTGGTTTCAGATAGCAATCCTGCACTCGGACACCCGATTGAATTCATATGCCTTGACTTGCCCGAGCCAGCTATTTGCAAATATTGTGGCCTACGTTATGTTCAGGATCATCACCATTAAGATTGGTTTCTCCATGTATTCTGGTGTGCATGTACGAAATTTCTGCCTGTTTTTGGTTACAATGCTTTTGACTAAATCATGGCGTAACAAATATACTTCTTTGTTACAATTTGCTAAATAAGATGCTCATGTACTATCTATTTTGTTGGGTTAACGTTGTTAAGTGCGGTAAGTAATTGTGACCCGAGGTACAGCTTCATTGAGCAATCTATTTTATTTTAATTCTTAATTTGCAAGCTCCTGAGCGCTGGTTACACTACCTTTTCACAAGCCAAGATAATGAATGTAAGAAGCAACATTGAATGGTGTAAGAAGCTAGATCATTAAAGTTGCCTTTGAGGTCCTAATAAAGAAGAGATTGTAAGAGATTTTGGTATTCCAAATTTAGACTCTAGTTCTCATAGTTTAACCTGTAAGAGATTTTGTCTGTTTTTATAACGATATTGTACTGGCCGGGCAGAAAAGAAACTGGTATATTGGTCAAATGACTGATTTAAATAAACTACATTAATGGTCTGAAGAAAAACTAGTCTAAAAGCATGAAAGCCGGTTAAAACTGGTTTAAATTGGGTCGATGAAAAATAATTATGTCATTTTAACCCTTTTTTCTTAAAAAATAAAAATTAATCTAAAACATTAGTTATTTTCTTTTTATGTATTATTGAATTTTTATACTGATTTTATCAATACTAATTTTAATTTTGAACCATGTTCAGATTTGAAAATTTTTGGTTGTCCAAATTCGACTTTTTGTGTGTAACATCAAAAAGCATAATTTATTTATATAAAAATCGCTTCAAAGTTCTGAATTTTTTTTATTTAACCGGTTTTTATACCTTTTTTTTCTTTGCAACATCTGATTTATTTTTAATAATTAAAGAATTATTAAAAGTAATAATAAAACATATAATTAAGAGACAAAAACTATATGGAGTCAAATATGGGAAGGAAATAGTGTAGTTAAACTAAAAGGGTTGAGGAAAATGGGATGATTTTCAGTACATTGTTTGAAATGGTTATGAAGATTGTTTGAAAGAACCTTTCCAACATTGAAGGTGATATCAAACTCTGGATTAGTTGCTACATTTAGTGATGATGAATATTGAAAAGTGATGATCAAACACTGCAAAATTCAAATTCCAAAACCTTGCCATCAATTAGGGAAATCTATAAATAGCCAGAGAAATTATGAAACAGACCAAAATGGTAAAAGTGTACACACAGTTTGTTGATATGTTCATGTATATCCACACCCATTGATACAGAATGATAAATTAAAATTTACCCCTTTAAAAGAAAAAACCAAAGTTTGAACAATGCTCTTTAGAAATAAGTAGAAGGTAATTATATAAAATACGTGTATCAATGATTGTAAATGTGTTATTTTATTATTTATTTCGAAATACATCTAAACTATTGAAGAACGTTGATTCCTGTGCAATTCAATCGAAATGTTGCAAAAGATAAATTGAATAACTTTTTAATGTAATGCTCCAAGCATGTGTTACTCATTTTCTAAAAATCAAAGAAACATTATGCATAATTTTCATTACACATTGACACAGTCACAGAACAGCAAAAGAAGAAGAAATTAAAGAAGACAATGGCAAAAGAGTTGTTCTTAGTTCTGCTCAATAATGCAGTCCAGCTTTGCTCTCAGTTCTTTTCTTAATATCTTTCCCGTCTGAGACTTTGGAATTGCTTCAACCAAATACACTTTGTGTATCCTCTTGTAAAACACTACCTGTTTACAACAACACACAGCTTCTCATTTTCTAAAGAGAAATTATTATGATATATATAAATCTTTTACATTTATTTTACATTATTCTTTCTTATTTTTTGTTTTTTTTTTAAATATAAAAATTTATTTTTATAATTATTTTACTCTTATGTGAAATAAATGTAAATATGTGTCACAATTATTTTTCTATTTGCAAATACAATTCATGATTAATTTTACTGCGTAATTGTACCTGTTTAGCTACAAAATCCTTTACAGCATCTTCTGTAAGATCAAAGCCAACAACGAAAGCGACTGGAACTTGGCCCGCAGCATCGTCTTTTTGCCTATTACAACGTTGTTTTGGTTGGTTCCAATCAGAACATTACATATATCATTGCACAGAAATTACAGTGCCAATGGTTACTTACGGGACAACAGCTGCATCTGCAATGGAAGGGTGGCTCCTGAGAAGGTCTTCAAGTTCTGCCGGCGGCACCTGGAAAGCTTTGAATTTGATGAGTTCTTTGGCCCTGTCAACGAGGAAAACCTCATCATCATCATCAACGTAGCCAATGTCACCAGTATGAAGCCAACCATCTGCATCAATGGTTTCTGCAGTGGCCTTCTCGTCATTCAGGTACCCTTTCATGATCTGAGAGCCACGGACGCAAATCTCGCCATGGTGGTTACGGGGAAGAGAGAATGAAGTTAGAGGGTCAATGATCTTCATTTCAGCATTTCTCACCACAGTTCCGCACGAACCAGACTTGGTTGGAAATGGAAACTTTGCAAAACCCAAAGACATGGTCAATACTGGTCCACTCTCTGTCATCCCATAGCCCTTGACTCACAGAGAAAGATGTTAGATTGAGGAAGAATGGATGAATCAATGCATGCATGGATGCATGGGAAGAAGAAGAAGGAGAAGAAGGAGAAAGAGAAGAAGAAGAAGAAGAAGGGGTTACCTGTCCTATAATGGCGTGAGGCAACCTGTTCCGCAGAGCCTCCTCCGCCTGTAGCCCCAGCGGCGCAGCCCCCGACATCACCATTCGTATCGAACTCAAATCGTACTCCTCCACCGCGCTGTTCTTCGTAAGTGCCACCACCAGGGGCGGCACCAGTATCGCCACCGTCACCCTGTGCCGCTCAATCGCCTGCAGCAGCGCCCTCATCTCAAACTTCTCGATCAACAAAATGGCACTCCCCGCTCTCATCCCGCACATCATCACGATGTGCATGGCGAATATGTGAAAGAGAGGAAGCACGCACAGCACAACGTCCTCTTCTTTCAGATACATGTGCGGGTTCTCTCCCTCCATTTGTTGCGCCACGCTGGTTACCAAACTCTTGTGCGTCAGAATCACCCCCTTCGCTAGCCCCGTCGTCCCCGACGAAAACGGCAGCGCCACCGTGTCCTCCACTGATATCTCAACCTCCGGAACCTCGCTCTCTTCGCCCTCCGGGAAAGCCGAGAAATTCTCCGGTGGGTCGTCGACGGTGACCACCTTGAAGAAGTGGTGCTGCGCTTGCTGATTGAGCTTGTGGACGTGGGCGGAGAGGGTGACGACGAGCTTGGCGTTGGAGATGGCGAGTTGCTTGGAGAGTTCGGCGGCGGTGTAGGAGGGGTTGGCGGTTGTGGCGACGGCGCCGAGCATGGAGACCGCCATGAAGGTGAACACGAACTCCGGGGAGTTGGGGAGGAGAATCATGACGGCGTCGCCCTTCTGGATGCCCAGCTTCGACATGCCGGCGGCAACCTTCCGCGAGGCGCGGTGAGTTTCGGCGTAGGTGTAGGTTCTGGCGGCGGAGATGAGGCATGTGCGGTGGGCGACTTCGGGAAGTTTAAGGAAGCAGTATTCGTGGAGGAGGAGGTTGTTAGGGAGTGGTATGTCTGGTAACTTTGATCGGAAAATGTGGGTAGTTTCGTCCAAAGTAACTAACATTGTGTTTGATTCTTATGTTGTATGCTGTGTAGGCTTGAGGCAGCAGATAAATGGAAGAAGGTTTTTTTTTTCTATTATTATTATGGAGAAATAAAAGTACATATATTTAAATTTATCAAGTAAAGCTTACCGATTAAACTATTAATTTTCTGATTTTTTTTATATAAGTGGAAAAGTTTTGACCATAAATTATGAAAATACATAAGTTAGAAATCAATTACGGGCATTGTACTTTATGACAGTTTTAGTATAAGGACTGGTAGAAATAAATAATAGCAATTCAAGGCTGCTGAAACAGAGGAAAAGGCAACTTGGTTTAATAATATTGTAGGTTTTATTATGCTAAGGGAATGTTTAATACAATTTTATAATTTCTAGAATTGATTAAATGTAATAAATTTATTAAGTGTGAGATGAACTTTGGTATCTTATTTGCCCATAGAATTAGAATTTGAAGAGAGACCATTTGCCAAGTGAATTTGATTTGTCCCTTTGTCATTTTTAATTCATTAATTTTATAATTGAATTAAGCTTTTGGTATCCATGTAATGTAAGAAGTGGGTGAAAGAATTATGCGCATATAAAATCAAAGGAAAATCATACTTTGACAACATTTTAACACTGTCTACGTGTTATTTTGTAATTGGTCCAAAACTATTCCACAATCAATAATAATAATCATAAATACTAATATAGACCAATCACATAATGACACGTAGACAGTGTTAAAATGTTATAAAAAAATATTATAAAGTATCATTATGCTAAAATCAATGAAACAAATAATATTTTGTTATCAAAATTAATGTATTGGTAAAGGCGCTGCTTGTAAGCAAAGAACTGGTTTATTCATCTCAACAAACAGAGTCGTTATATATTTTTTCTTTATATTATAATTATTAGTTTTTTTTTTTCTAAATTAACTGAACTATGAATATAATTGAAAAATATATATTTTATCTTACAATTTTAAAAATGAAAAATAAAAAGAGTTTTTTTATTAACAATAGAGGAATAAAATATAATCATTTATATTAGTACTGTATGTGAATAAGAGTATGATTATAATTGTTGACTAATTTTTTCTAAAAATTAGTCAATTATCTCACTGAATCATCTTTTTCTATTCGTAAATTAAAAGTATTATATTTTTGTTTAAGATAAATTCAAATTCACCTGGATGAATATATTGCCAAAAAATAACTTTTCTTTTAATTAAAAGAAAAAACATGTCCGTACATGATAAAATGAAATATATGTAACTTTAACTAATTCAATTTGATTTAGTGTTATTTATTTATTTATTTATTGCATAAATTTCACTAAATAAGATAATATTAAAAGTACCCATTAAATAATTTGTAGTAAGCATATATGTAAGAATTAAAACAAGATAAAATTATTTAGACCAGTTTTTAAATCTTAGGATGGATATATAAGTCAAATCTCGATCGGAATTACACATTCCGTGAAACTGATTTGTTTACTGTGAGTACTCAAAATAAATTCGAGACTGTAAAACGATCTCACAGTTATAATGTCATTTTAATTTAAAAAATG